AAATTCTTTCCGGAATAGTAAGTAGTAGAATTTTGATGTAATCAAGAAAATGTTATGTAAAAACTTTATGTATGGGGTAAAATTTCTCGAAATATGTAAAGTTATAACATGAATATTTTACAAAGAAAATTCGTAAATATCAGTTATGAATAGTGAAATATCAGTTAAAAGTTAGAAATTTTAGTAGATATATTTTAGTTATGAAAAACTAAAATATTTGGTATGTGACCAAATGACCAGCTAGAAAAAGAATAGAAATATTAAAAGTAAGGAAAATAGCAAAAGTTCCTGAAACAGAATTTTCCCGAGTCAGTTTAAGCGAGAAACTGCTAAAAAAAAATGGGTACTACAAGGGTACGCATTTTGGGCAATTCTGAATCAATTAAAATGATAATTTCATAAAAGGAAATTGACTAATGAGATACCCAAGAGAAATGGGTTGAATATGAGAAATTTAACCCAGGGTGCTCGGCAGTCCAGAAAAGCAGTATAGAACATATACTGGGTGTGAAATTATCGGTACCGAAAAGAGACTCATTTTGAAAAATAAAAAGTTAGGTCTCAACAAGAGAAATGTGGGGAACATAGAACCACTCAAATAAAGTGTTAAACTTAAGTAGAACTAGTAAAATTAAATTATGAAAATTAATTTAATTTAAAAAGTAATATTAGATATTATTGAAAATAATATTATAATATTCATTAATGTCTTAAAAGAGTCCCATGGATATATTAGAAGCCACTTTTGTCTTCTTTGCCTAAGTGTGGCTGACTAAGAAGAAAGAGAGAAAACTAAGTTACAGAATATATGTACATGTATATATATATATATTTATATATATATATATGAAAGATTATCGTTAGGTACGGTTTAAAAAAAAAAGAAAAGGTAAGTCAAAAAGATTATTACCATGAGGTGTATATGTATTAAACATGCAGGGGTACACTTGGCTTTACAACATGAGGCGGTGACTCACATTGGTGACTCACGTGGGTAACTCACCTTGAAAATCACATAGGCTTGTTAACTCACGCAACTAATGCAAAACTTACTGAGGCCATTACTCACGGCATGTACTTGTGAATGTAAGGCATAGCATAGCAGAGAAAATGAGAAAAAAAAAGTGAGAGAGTGAAGTAAAAAGAAAATAGATTAGAGAGAGACGGAGAAGAGAAATTCAA